ATTCGGAGAAATGTCTATTCAGGGTCCTTCACCCATTTTTAAGTTGGATTGTTTGTGTTTTTGGTGTTGAGTTTTATAAGTTCTTTATACATTTTGGATATTAACCCCTTATCAGATTGTCATTGGCGAATATATTCTCCCTTTCAGTGGGTTGTCTTTTTTTTTAAATCCTTACCCAAGAATATTTTTCCATTGATTTTTAGAGAGAGTGGGAGAGAGAGGAAAGACAGAGAGAAATATCGATGTGAGAGAAACACATCGATTGATTGCTTCCCTCATGCGCTTGACCAGGGCCCCAGCGGGGAAGGAGCCTGCAACGATTCTTGAACTGAAATCAAACCCGGTACCCTTCAGTCCACAGGTCGACACACTATCCACTGAGCCAAACCCGCTAGAGCTTTTGTGGTTCCATGTAAATTTTTTTGTTCTAGTTCTGTGAAATAGTCATTAAATGTAACTTCATAGGAATTGCATTGAATCTGTAGATTACTTTGCGTAGTATGGACATTTTAATGATATTACTTCTTCCTATCACACAGTATATGCTTCCACTTATTTGTATCTTCTTCAGTTTCCTTCTTCAGTGTCTTATAATTTTCTAAGTATAGGCCTTTTATATCCTTGGTTAAACTTATTCCTGGCTATTTTTTTTAATGCAGTTGTAAATGGGCTTGTTTTCTTAGTTTCCCTTTCTGATCGTTCATTATTGGTTTATAAAAATGCAACTGATTTCTGGATATTTATTTTGTAATCTGAATTCATTTATCAGTTCTAGTAGTTTTTTCACAAGTTTAGGTTTCTCTATATACAATATCATGCCATATATAAATATTGACAGTTTTTCTTCTTTCTTTCTGGTTTGTTTAAAAATATATTTGTATCTAATATATATTTCCTCTATGTAGTGCAAGGCTCAGTAGCAGTCCAGTGAATCTCTTCTTGCCTCCAAGGACTTGCCATTTACCTTGAACTCTTTATTTGTTGTTGTTTATTTTTGTTCACATAGAACCACATTAGCTAAATTTAGAAAGAAGGAAAGACAGGGTTAGAGTTAGTTAGGGTTTAGGGCTAGGAAGTGAGAGAAATTGATCAAGATGATTTGAGGTTTGATATTATTATCAACATTTGCCTAGTTGTAGTAATATAGAATGTTGGTTTGTCTTATTGAGAACATAGCGATTTTTTTCTCCCTCCAAATGTTAGTGTGTGATTCATAAAAGTTGAGTTGTTTTTTAACTTCTTAAAGAAAATGAAAGTAAAACATACAGTTACTCTAAATGAATTGTTTATACATTTGTCACTAGAAAACTGTTTTTAGTTGAATAGTAGTTTATGTCATGGTAGTTATTGTAGTTTATAGTATTTATAACTTGCTGTGGTTTTGAATGTTGCTCTTAAGACTGTATTTAGTGACCACTAGGTTTTAATTGCTCGGAAATTTCAGAGAATGTAAAAATGTTTTGGTTAAGCCTAGGAAATACCCATTCTTGCTTCCTTTAAAATTGGCATCAGTGAACTTAATGAAAGCAGAATACTTTGAAAACACGCTCTTTAAAGTATAGCTATGACCCTCAAACCTTAGAGGGAAGGTAGGGTGGGGGTAAGAGGGAGAGATCAACCAAAGGACTTGTATGCATGCATATAAGCCTAAACAATGGACACAGACAACAGGGGTGTGAGGGCATGAGTGGGGGGATGGGGAGGTAATGGGGGGATAAGGACACATATATAATACCTTAATCAATAAAGAAATTTTAAAAAAATGTCATCCCACTGGAAAAAAGGTATAGCTATTACTAAAATACTATAATAACTAATATGTAAGTAATAGCTGCTTTTTTTTGTTGTAGAAACTCTGTGGTAAGAGGAAAACTGCAAAATCCTTAAGAAAAATAGAGTATAAAAAAATCACTCATAAATGGAAGATTTTTAAACAGTGGAATGTGGATGAGAAATAGAAAGACACATGTAGGTTTGACATGGTTATATTTATTTAAATTCCTTGTTTCCTAGGACTTTGCAGATTAGGTTGTTTTCTCTCTTTTGACAGACTAATTTTTTTTTTAAATTCCATTTGTATACCTCTACAGTTTGTAGCTGGTTTCTCTTTTAAAAATGGTATGCAAAACCCATTTTAATGCAACATAAAGCTTACAGATTTGAGTTCTGCAATGTCAGAAAACAAACAGTGTATGTACTAATTTCTAAATCACTAGCTGGGCTTCTAAATGTTCGTGTTTTTCATATAGCAGAGGCAGTCCATAAAGAGCAATTGTATTGCTGGTTTCACTGAACATTTGCATTGTTTAGTACTGTTTGTCTCTGCATTATTCAACATTACCATATGCTGTAATCTCTAGACCAGCTGAGAGCAACCAGCAAGCATAGACTTCCAAGCAGGAGCCAAAGTAAGCAGTGGGGAATGAAGCTGCTATAAAATTTTGTTGACAGTATATGCAAAATACCTTTTGAAAATTGTACATAATAAATGGGAAAGTATGTCACACTTCATTTTTTATAAAATCCTTTCTACACCCATCTTTCAAAAGTTTGCTTATACTTGGTGAACAAAGTAGGCATTTAAAATGATGTGGTGTGGAAATAATTTTAAAATAACAGTTTAAATAATTAAATACTTTCATATTTCATTTTTCTGTAAATGTTAGAAATTTTTAAAAGCCCTATTACAACAACCAAATACACGTTTGGTCATTTCTTCTAATGGAAGGAGCTGTATGACTAAGAGACATGAATTATACTATGGTTGTTTATTCTGACCAAACTTTATGCCAAATTTTAGTCAGCAAATAAACTATTTAGTATTTGCTGACTACCTAACTGTTAACTTAGTTTAATAAGCAAGGACAAGTTTGCCAACAATTTCTGGAAATAGAAAAGGGGTAAAGAACATGGCTTCTGCAATCCCCCAAAAAAGAAAAGAAAAACTCACCATAGCCTGGGTAATTGAAAGAGTTCGTTTTTGTAAAATGTGCAATTGAAATACTACTTTGAAAGGAGGGTGGGAGTATGGGCTGCCTCAGATATTAATGTTGAAATGAAAGATGAGATTTAAGCCCAGCCAAGGTGGCTTAGTGGCTGAGCATTGACCTATGAATTAGTTCACGGTTCGATCCCCGTCAGGGCACATACCCGTTGTGGGTTCGATCCCCTGTGTGGGGCATGCAGGAGGCAGGTGATCAATGATTCTCTCTCATCATTGATGTTTCTATCTCTTTCTCCACCTCTTCCTTCCTATCTGAAATCAATAAAAATATATTTTAAAAAGATAAGATTTAAGTTATCAACTATTTATTGTTCACTTATTATGGATAAGATAAAACCCACTTAGGGAGTCTTAAGAATTTAGGATGATATGATTGTTGTAACTGAACATTGAATGTAGTTCTGAGTGTCATCATATTTGGGAGTAAAAATATTTTAAAAATAGATTTTACAGTTCTTTTGATTTAATCAGAGGGAATGTGCAAGTTCAGTAGAGAAAGCTTTTCAGTATTATTTCTTAGATCTGTATTGTTTTCTGAGTCTGACCTTGGGGAAATGGCAGAACAACACCATAGCATTGTATATGACTTAGCTCAACTACCCTATAATGTGACCTATGACCTAATACATCATTTGTAAGTCCTTAATAATAATGATAATCACAGTCATGAAACTATACTTACTGACCTTTCATAAGATACTCATATCTATCATCTCACTTAAACACCTTGATTAGTTTTTCTATCAAAACCATGACACTGACTATATATACACATATTATAACATAAAAATTATATATATATGCTTCCAGATTATTTGTAATTGATGGCTTTTATCCCCTACTATGTGTTAGGCTCTCTGGTATGCGATTTCCATATATTATCTCATTTACTCATTCCACTAACATATAAAATAGGTAACTGTATTTCCCCATTAATGAGACCTCACTAGAGATGTAGGAAATGGACATTTGAGAGTAGTAAGGAAGATGCTGGTCTAGGTGGAGAGACAGTGATTCTCTAAGATGCTTTTTGATGTGACCAGAGTGGCCAGGAAAGCTGATTTTGTGTAGGACTTATACTGTTTACTGAGAAAGGGAATAAAACAGAATGGAGATTGTATAAATGCTGATGAGTTCACTTTAGACATGTTGAGCTTAAGGAAGGGAAGCGGATTTTATAGAATGTGGGTTTTAAACAATGGAATTTGTTTTTCATATAGCAGAGGCAGTCCGTAAAGAGCAATTGTATTGTTGGTGTTTCACTGAACATTTGCATTGCTATATAAAAAACACAGCCAAGATTTTTGTTTTGGTTTTTGCCTTGAATCTTATGGATACTTGTTAGGCATTTTTTTGAAGGTTAATAACATTTCAACATTGATTGTTGATAGTGTTTGTGAAGAAATATAATGAGGTGTTAATGTCTTGAGTAATTAGATAAATTTTGGGAGGATTTCATGGTTTGTGACCTTTATAGCTACCATGCCCTATGTAGGTAAAATAAATAAATGTATATGTCTAAAATGTGTTTTTATTAATTTCAAAGAGAGGAAGGGCGAGGGAGAGAGAGATAGAAACATCAATGAGGAGAGTCATCATTTTGCTGCAATCCAAGCATGTGCCCGACTGGGAATTGAACTGTGACCTCCTGGTTCATGGGTTGATGTTCAACCACTACTCCACACTGGCTGAGTGGTAAAGTATATTTTTAAGCAAACTGAGAGATCGCATGAAATCTCTCTTAAAATATTAAATTATTTAATATGCAAGCCAAACTTCTTTTTTGTAAGAAAAGAAATAGAGTATAGAAATTAAAACGAAGGGAAAAAAACAATAGTTCTATTAGGTTGAATGTATTCTGATTTTTTTTTCTGTGTGTTGTTTCTTTCAGAAATATGGCTATACACACCTTTCTGCAGGAGAACTTCTTCGTGATGAAAGGAAAAACCCAGATTCACAGTATGGTGAACTCATTGAAAAGTACATTAAAGATGGAAAGATTGTGCCAGTTGAGATAACCATCAGTTTGTTAAAGAGGGTAAGGAATGTGAATGCCAACCAATTTAAATAAGCAAGGAAATGATAAATCTGCCTTTTCTTTGAGTAATGAAAATATTCAGAGTATTGACTTTTGTTTTTGTTGTTAATCCTCACCTGAGAATATTTTTCCCCATTTACTTTTAGAGAGTGTAGAAGGGAGGGAGGAAGGGAGAAGAGAGAGAAACATCACTGTGAGAGAGACACATTGATTGACTGCCTCCCACATGTGCCCTTCTTGGGTAAAGCTTCTGAATGTCCCAGAGAGTTAGTGCTTGCTTCTTTGTTTTATCATAGCATCCTTTTATACCTCATCATAGAACTTAGCACATTTAATTACATTTTGTTATCCACTGGACTTTGAGCTCCCCAGGGGCCATGACCTTGTTTTTCATGTTCCCTGATAGTTGGCCTCAAATGTGTGTTGAGTGAGTAGAATATGGATGTACCTCTTCTCATATCTTCCACTACCATAATTGGGGTAGAAATGCTATAATAGAAGTCCAAAAAGAATTGTGTGGAAGTGTTGTGAATATTGGAGAAGCTAGATGTTGGGATAAAGCCAACACTCAAATAATGGAATCAGGGGTCTTGACAGTGTGAGCACTTATGGGACTAGATATTGGTTTGCTTTGGAAAAGAGGCTCCTCGGGAGTTTGACCAAATCATGCATCTGAGCTTATTAGCCCGTGGGGATTAGTAGTGGTAAGGATTTGGAGATCCGAGATCTGCATCTCCCATTCACATATCCACATTCTCCTACCTAAATTCAGACTTTGAAGGAGGCAACCATGTTACTGGTAATACTAATTGGATCATTTTCTTTTAAAAAATATATTTCTATTGATTTTTCTAGAGAGAAAGGAAGTGAGACGTAGAAAGAGGAAGAGAGAGAGAGAGAGGGAGAGAGATTGATTCATGTGAGAGGGAAACATCAGTTGGCTGCCTCCTGCACATCCCCATACTGAGGATCGAGCCCGCAGCCTGGGCATGTGCCCTGACCTGGAATCAGCCCAGCGACCTTCTGGTGCATGGCGTGACCAGCTGAGCCACACTAGCCAGGGCAGATCATTTTCTTTAAGTCTTTTTTTGTCTATGCATCCTTCATGCTTTACTTCTGATTTAAGGAATAATAAAAGAAACACCAATATATCCACTACCCTCCTTAAGAAATTGTTAATGTAGTATTGACCCTAAATCTTCCTTTTCTTTTAGGAAATGGATCAGATAATGGCTGCCAATACTCAGAAGAATAAATTCTTGATTGATGGTTTTCCAAGAAATGAAGACAACCTTCAAGGTTGGAATAAGACCATGGATGGGAAGGCAGATGTATCTTTCGTTCTGTTTTTTGATTGTGATAATGAGGTAATGAACAGCTTCATCTGCCCGCATGGGCTTTAAACAACTTGATTCATTGATTAGAGAAATGCAGTCATTCTTTACTTATATTCCATTTTATATTGGCAGCAATATTTTTTTGAATTGGAACTTTGGATGGACAGAATAGCACTGTCTTGCTCTTGGAGTGTTAAACACTTTTTGGCATCAGCAATCTTGTGGACCTAAAATTTGCTTTATTTTGAAAATAATAAGAATTTTCTTTGCTTTGTTTTTAAGTAAAACTTGACTTGTATAATAATGTTAGGTAAGGAAGCTGCCCTGTTACTTCTGAGGTATGCACTATTAGAGAGTGTATCTTGCCTTAGGATGGTTGTTTATTGGAAAAGAAGCACATATTTCTGGGAATTTGGGGAAACTTTCTATTTTACAGCAACAGTTAAGATAGCCTGATATGTGTTCATAGGGTAAAATGATCTTGAAAAAAAGCAGGAAAGCATTCTTTTTCTTTCTGGCACTTCCAATAGCATACTTAGACATACCTTTGACTAACTGAGTTAATTTCTTGGACTCATTTAGTTAAAAGGCCTTTCACACCTGTAAACTTCATTAAATTAATGTCACAGCCTGAAAGAATAAGAACCTGAAGTTCTGTTTTAAAGGAAGTTGACTGGTTGAATTGCAGATGTGCCTCTGGTGGAGGGACTTGCTGAAGCCTTTGAGTTGTTTTAAAATGTAACTCTCTTCTTCCAACCCCCAAAAATATGTTTTCACTTATTCTTCAAAGTTAACTTTAGAATGTTACCACAGCTTTATAACTAAGGAATGTTTATTCATGATTAACAAGGGGTACTTTATTCAAATGCAAATATGTTGATTCTTCAATATTTGGATATTTATGGAATTACTGAAAAGTAAGCAAAAATAGAACAAAGTCAGAGGCATGTAATTCATACCTAATAAGTTAATAATGTATCCTAGATGGACCCATACACACATAGATCTTCTTTTTATTGCGGTTTGAAAAAAATACACAGGAAAAACTGAGTCATGAATGAATTCGTATTATGCTCTGTACTTACTTAATCTAGTTTATATAAATTGAACCACATGTTTAAATTTAAAAGGACTTTACATGTTGATTAATGAATTAGATACATTCAGTTTAATGCAGGGTTTTTTTAAACTCTTCAAACTTTATTCTCTTTTCAGGTTAAAAGATTGACAAATTCATATCTTTCTTTTTTTATAATAAGTTTGTATTTATTTTTCTTTTTAGATCTGTATTGAACGATGTCTTGAGAGGGGGAAGAGTAGTGGTAGGAGTGATGACAACAGAGAGAGCTTGGAAAAGAGGTACTTTGCAGTTTTTATACAATAAGCCGCCTCAATCGCAGTTTGGAACTTGAATAGCAGGTTAAATACTTGCCTCATTTTGGTCCAGAAAAAGATAATGTCATGCTTAACTATGTGAATTGGCTTATCTAAGAAGATGCTAAGGGAGTCAGTTGGGTCAAGTCCAGTGTTCTCCTCTGAGCTATCCTATAACATGGAGGAGAACGGATGAATACTTAGAACCTTGCAATATTTGCCTTTTTCCCCCCCCAGGATTCAAACCTATCTTCAGTCAACAAAGCCAGTTATTGACTTATATGAGGAAATGGGAAAAGTCAAGAAAATAGATGCTTCTAAATCTGTGGATGAAGTGAGTATCCCTCTCCTGCCTTAAAAAGAAAAAAGTCAAGTAAAAATGTGATGGAGGGCATAGGCAGGAGAAAAAAATAGTATGACAGAACAGTTTGCTTTTCAAGACACTGAGATTAAATGAAAAATTAGGCTTTTTCTCCTTTTTGAATAGAGTCTAAAATGGGTTTTACAACTTCAGACTTGTCTTCATGGAAGTGGGTGGTTTATTAATTCCAAACTTCATTTCTCAAACACTGGAAAATTGGCATTTGAGACTATGCTTTGGACCATGAGCATTAAAAAAAAAATCATAATATGAATTGCAGGTTATCTAGCTCAGGAGCCCGAGGCTGCCTTCATTTCTTCTGGCACAGAGCACAGAGCTCCAGGGGGCAGCAGGAGTGGGGGGAAGTGGGGATAAATGTTAATGGCCAGAGACTTGAGTTGGGGTGGTAAATGCATAATGCAGTGTACAGATGATGTGTTGTAGAATTGTGCACCTAAACCTGTATAATTTTGATAACCCGTGTCACCCCAATAAATTCAATGAAAAGGAAAATAAAAATAAATACACGTAGCTCCAGGTGCATGGTGTCCGTGGCTCAGCACTGCTCTCTTCCTTCATAAGTCAGCTGTCTTCTCTCAACTGTGGTTCAAAAGCCCTCAGTGCCCAGCAAGTATTTCTAGTGCTTTTTAATTCACCCAGTCATCCCCTGATTGCCTGAATCTTCTTCCTCTGGACCTTCCTTTGTTATTGTATAGTCATTTTTGCTTTTTTTTTTTTTTATCTATTGCTACTTTGTATAGTGGTGAGGTAATATATCAGAAAACTTTAGTGTTTTAGAATCAGAACTAGGAAGATAAGCCACTTCCATTTTATCAATTTTTGGTAGCCGATTAAGAAGTTTTATTTTGTCTTAAAATTGAATGCAACATGTTCATAATTTTATATGTATTTTTTAAATATATTTTTATTGACTTCAGAGAGAGAAAGGGCAGGAGAGAGAGAGAGAAACATCAGTGATGAGAGAGAATCACTGATTGGCTGCCTCCTGCACACCCCACACCAGGGATCGAGCCCACACAACTGGGACTAGAACCATGACCTTCTGGTGTATAGATCGACACTCAAGCACGGAGCCACACCGGCCGGGCTTTCTTCTTTTTAAAAACTCTCTACAAGTGCCCAGTTCCCCCTGGAGCCTACTTTTTTTTTTTTTTTTTTGTCATAGGAATAGACAGTGAATTCGGGTCTAACTTTGTCTTAGCTATGGTGCTCACAAAACAAGGAAGGGCATTAGCTAGTTCTTTGTTTTTATTCGATAAGGATATCCCTTTTATAGTTTGTGCCTTCTGTGAGCAAAACTTTTTAGTATGCATATATCCCTTTAGTGATTACAACGTGTCAGGATTAGGGATTCCTCACTTCCTCTTTTTCTTGCAGGTTTTAAATTTCCAACCTGTTAAGTGAATTTGTGGACCAAATTCCAAAGGAACTTTTTGTGTAGTTAGTTCTTGCACAATGTGTTTGGTAAACTCATAAGATGAATTGCTAGAAGTGTTTTAGTATTTATCCAATAACTGACTATATCCTATAAAAAGGTAAGAAAACTTAGCTATGTTTTAGTTTTAATACAATTTGTACAAAGTTGTATGACATGGCATAGTCTGCTTCCAGGGATTGGGATGAGGGCACTGGGGGTTCAGAGCCTGGCAGAATTGTCAGCTTTATTCTGACATAAATCTGAGGATAAGGGGCAAGGTTCATATCTAATGACATGTGTTCCTTATGCTCTATTATATAGTGTTATTAATGATTAAATTGATCTCAACAAAATTCCTAGCAGTGAAACCTTGAAATGCATGTACTAGATTTATGGTAAAATGGTTTGGGGTTTTTTTTTTGGTTTGTTTTCTAGACTAAATTTAAGGTTAGTATAAAGTAGAAGAAATCTAATGATTAAATTTCCCATTTGTATTTTATTTCCTTGAATATTTTTTCATAGTTATTTGTTTAAGAAGATTTAAAAATCACTGCACTTTGGTCAGAAAAATAATAAATATATCTTATGTTTGATTTCCTTCCTGGCTACTTTTATTCAGTAAATTATTTTTTGGCATATGTTGAAGCATGGAAAGGTACAGAATAAAAAAGAAGGCTGTAGAGTCCAAAGGAATTTTTCCTTAAATTTATTCTTCCTTTAAAAATCTCTGAGAAATTTATTTTCTCCATTCTTTTTTTCTGACATCACCAATGCAAAGTGGTATCAAGGTTCTTATTATGAGACTTATTAAAATGTTTCTGGTCTTCAGCACTTTTTTGACTTTGTATAATTAACATAATTAAAATTTGACTTTGTATAATTGTTAATATAATTAAATTTTTATATTTAAAGTCATTGGGAATAGTGAGGACAATTTGTGTATATTCGTATACAGGGGTGGGCAAAAGTAGATTTAAAGTTCCTATGGAAAAAGACATGCACATTATGATTATTACAACAGCTTTATTAACTGTTTCGTGTACTTACAACTGTAAACCTACTTTTGTTCACTACCCCGTCTTGTAATAGATTTATTTATTTCTATGTGTATTATGAAATTCACTTATTAATGATGAATTTGCAATATACTTGCCATTAAAACAACAAAGTATCCATAAGTACTATAACATATAAGCCACCAAAATTTGTATTGACATCTTGGTTTCTTGGAGGAGGTTGTAATGAATTCTTATCTAGTGATTCCATCCAGCCAGGACAGAGAGCTTTTATGGGTAATGTAATAAAATGGCTGTAGTATGAAGCAAGAGTGAAGACGTAAGGTTTTGAATGTGTTCCTCCTCACATAAGTGAAGAAACCTATCAGGTGGGGATCTAAATACTTATATTGGTGTTGTGAAAGCAACCTGAAACGTGTGGATTTTAAGGAGACGGCTGAGACTAGGTGCTTTGCTTCCTTTCATCAAATATCTTTCTGCGGCATTTGAGAACCAAAACCAAGAAACATAATAATTACTAAACTACGAAGCTTTGTTTTTTGTTTGCTTAAATAGAAAAACATTGTCAGCAATATTGAGTTTAGTAGCTGACTGAGATACATCTAAATTCACTAGTTAGGTCATTCCATTTGTTAAAGACACAGTCACCAAGAAGTTTTTGACTTTTCTTGAAAGAACCCAGTGGAAGTCTTGCAATTAAAAAAAAATTAACATTATTTTCATTCAGTGATGTTAGATATATATGGATTATTTAGTAAATAATTCCAATAAATTTTGTGCTGTGGCCTTTGTTGTTTGCTGGTTCAGATTTCTGTTTTCACAAGCATATGGGAGACTTAACATGTGCATCCTCACATAGCAAAAGCAGAGTTGAGGATCCAGGAGAATTTTCTGCTCTGTGTATTATGTTTGTGCATCTTGAATTAAGCAGGAAGCATTACTATCCCATTCCTTCAAGAAGTAATCTGGATTGAGGCACAAGTAGCCTATTTCATTGCCAGCCTGCAGCATCGATTCCTTGTCTCTTTGAGAGGGGAATTGGTAGCAGGCAAGTAGTGTGTCTCAGGATGCGGGTTTTTTTGTGGGTTTGTGGCTTTGTCCGTGTAATTTTAGTGGTTGTCTGACATTTCAGTGGTCCTGGAGGTTTGGTCTTTCCTCTTCAAACACACATTAATTGCACAAGCCGTAGTACTACAAACACATTCTCTGCCTTCCAAGAACTTTCTATCTAAAACTAACACTGATGCGGATAGACCTTTTAGCTGTCTTGGTTGGCTGACATATAGTCTACTGCACTTCTCACTAGCCTTCATGCATATTTCTGCTAAATTCAGTACTCTTTCATTCTAAGTATTTTTTTTTTAATGAAAGAAAGGAAGCGCATTTATTATGCACCAAAGGAAAAAGGTAAAAATGGTCCTAATCTCCTTTCCCTTTTTTCATCATCCTGGACTCCAGTGTAAGCACTCCCTTGGATCCAGGCCTGCTTTCCTTTGAACGGGTATGGTTATTGTGACTGTGATGTTAGTTCTGGACCTCAATTAAGTTCTGTACTCACCATTTTTCCTGTCGAGAGCTGAAGAGAACAGTTGAATTTCTGGCTCCCACCCTATACCCCACGTCAGCCATACCGACTACAGGCTGTCTGCTCAGACTTGTATGGGATCCCTGTGCGCCCCCATTAGAGCAGAACTTGCTTCTCTTGGGTCCCTCTTTTCCAAAGAGGCTTTTTTCCCCCATTACTGTCCTCATAAGACCCTGACATAAGAGAAGAGGGCTTAATTATTTTGTACTGTTTGGGGAGACAGGGTTCCTGATCAACATTTCTCCAGCTGAGGTTCTTTCAGCCACAGAAAATTGTTTTCTGTTTATGATGCATTCTCAAGAAACTATGCAGCTTCCTAACTGGCCTTTCATGCCCTAATCAACCAGAGGAAAAGCATCTGCAGGGGTACCTCTACATTCTAGCCCTCAAGGAGATAATTGAGGCAAACTTTAAGAGCTATCTTCTACACAGTGGAATGAAGCCGTTAAGCAGCATACCATATACATAGCAGATGTATTCTCATTTGGTTGAGTAACCACCTTTAAAAAGAGAAAGTAAAATTCAAATAAAGCCATGTGTGTGAACTTTAAGGAATGCTCATATACTATCTGGTAGAAGGCTTCTTGGAAGAAATACACTCTTAGTAGCTGCTTCTAAAATATTGGGCGTGGGGGTAGGGGGAATTGATAGTAAACTCAAGATGGACTTTCAAGAAAAGCCCTGGATTGAATAGGTTTCCTTGCTGGTTTATAAAACCCTGCAGCTCTCTGGGGACTCCAGTGGAACTGCTCCTCTCTCACCTGGCTCTGAGGGCTCCCAGAGCCAGAGGGGAAAGACTTTGAGTCAGTTCAGCAGTTAGTACTTGGAAGCACAAAGCTGTTGTGCATGGCTCACCCTTGGTTTATTATTTTTATACAGTAAGTCCTCGCTTAACAACTGTAAGTGAAATGATATGTAATGAAGTCAATTTTAACATAGGCTAATTGATATAAACGAGTCAGGTTCCAACATT